CGATTTCCTCAATAAAAAAAATTGTAATAAAAAATTCAAACCTTTAACAAACAAACCAGTTATGCAAAAATTGCAAGACTCAAAATACTATTAAGTGAGTGAAGAATTCAGCTATAATTCTACAGCACATAATAAAAGCAAGTCTAACCTCCTATAATTTCCTTCATAGAAATTGCAGTAATTCACCCATAAGGGAATTAATAACAAGAAGAAAATGCATATCATAAGCATGTCACTAGTTACATGAACCATCCATATCACACATTCACTTAGAACAAATTAGAAGACCATAAACCAACACACGTTCACAAGAAAACACATTCTTTAACACATACAAACAAATCAGAACTCAAATTGACCTCTTTTGAACAAGACAAAGTTGCAACAGAACATTGCCGTAACCCATGATTTGATTCAGAACATAATTAAAGCTGAAAGCATTGAAGATTTCATACAGTTCCCAACTTTGAAAAAATAACTTGTATCCCATATTGAAAGTTGTAAAATTGTCTAAAAGAAAATGCATCTATCAAACTAGAAAGTCATTAGTCTTTAAACTGTCAAGCAGGGAGACACAAACATGCCTTTCAATCCCTTTGCCCATCATTTTCTTCATTACTTTCATTTTGGCGAAACAAAAGGTGATGGCTTGATTGTGAAGAGGAACGATTATTTGGGGAAAAGCCTTGCCCACTATTAGCATCCGGAACCTACAATTCAGTAGAAAGAAATTAAGGGATAACTAAAATTTTAAAAATTCAATCAAAAGAAATAAAAAAAAATAGATTTCAAAGATTAAACTTAAAAAATAGTGAAACCCAAAAAAAGAGGTATAAGTATGAGATACCTCTTGAGGAGCCGCATGTGCCTATTGAAGAATAAAATTCAATGAGTATAGATTTGGAATGAAAATTTAAAAGAACAAAAACAAAACTCACCAAAAACCCACCACAAACACACCTAACTTTAGAGATAGAACGGTTAGGGCCAATTACTTAGAAAGAAACAAAAAATTAATAGAAATAAAATGGAAGGATCCGGTTGAAAAGATCAAAATAAATAAAGAAAATAAAAACAGAGGAGTGCTAAGGGCACTCGCCTTCTGCACTCTCCGGCTAAAACTTTCACTTTTATTGGGCCACGTTATTCTGGTAGTTAAGAGGTTGCACCTCAAAGCCTAAAACAAGCTTACGAGGCACAATGAAAAGGGAAGTATTAGCCGGAGAGTGCAAGAGGCGAGTGCCCCTAGCACTACTCATAAAAACAAAAAGTAAAATATGTCACAGCAAAGCTTCGAATGATAAATCTATTTGTCATCTACCAAACCATATATATGCAAGAATACAAAGAAAACGAATGTCAAGTTGTAATGGTTGAACAAAAGAAGTTTACCTCCCTATCCAATCTGTTGGTAGCACCTAATTGGTTGGCAGCCTGCAGAATATCTGTGATATTCTCGTCCGGGAATCTTGTCTTCACTAGCTGCATTAATCCACTCAACATATTCTCCATCTCACTCAACCTTTCCTCAACATTGCCATTTGCAGACGTGGAAGGGACAGATTTTTTAAAAGTTGGGACCTTCCCTAAGCAACGAACCCTTCCTTTCTTGTCAGATCCCTTCACCTTAGAGAATACATCATCTTGCCAAGATGTATTTTCCTCTAATGCATTTGTAGAAGAAGTAGACTCATGTGGTTTTTAAGTTGTTCCTATGACATTTAACCCGAAAATAACTCATTATTTTTTTTATACCATGAAGAACAACCCTCTCATATTTAAAACACAGAGTTTGTGTTTACTAACCATGACTTGGCTTGCCTTTTCACTTACAGGTCCCCCTTCCTTTTTTGTTCGACTTTGAATGTAAAGTTCAGCCCTTGACAGCTTTCTCCTTTCAGTAGAGCTTTCCTGGAAAATAAAAAAGCAATAAATAATAAAATTCTAATATACCTTTAAGCAATTATACTAAAAAAAGAAAGATAGGATAACAATTTAATTTATTACTGATCTAACATCATGCCCTAAATTAATTTCAATTATCACTTGATCAGTATGTACACTGCTTTTTTTAATAAAGTAGCTTGAGCAGAAAAAATCAATTACCTTTTCATTGACAAATCGTGCAAAAGTCTTGGTGCCTAGGCAATGGGGCTCTTCAAGTTTTAGCCTGTTTTCTTTATTCTGTTTGCTAATTTTCTGGAAGAAAACAAAAGGTATAAGTTATTTGTGGTAATAGAAAATTAGGCAATATGTCAACTGCACAGCAAAATTGTCATACCTCTCCTTTCTCACTTTGCTAATATTCAACAAGCACTTCAAATTGTTCCTTATCAACTCGAGGATCATTAATCTTTTCATATATTTCATCTACTGTTAGCAACAGATCAAATCCTGCACTTTTTAGCTCATTTTTATAGCTTTTCCATTTTTCATTAACATCAGTCATAATCCAACTCTTGATTTGCTCTTTGCGGCTTTCTTCAATAAGGAACTTGGACTAAAATTAGAAACCACAAAAACAAAATGAGATTAAAAAAAACCAATAATAACAATGGCAAAATATCATAACAGTGAAAAGTCATCTTCAACTCGCAAAACAAATACCATGTAGCTTCATATTCAACCCAAACCTCTGTAAGCAAATAGTTCAACCTATAACCAGCACAAATCACTAAACATGTAACCACACCAGAAGCTGATCCAACATAATTAAAATTGAGTCCTATTCATCATACAGAACTCTAAAATCTAAACCAAATAAGCTCATTTTCACATGTGAAAAACAAAACTTTCATCCAAAAAAAAACTTATACCAAATAGAAACTTATTAGAATCAGTCTTTCATAATTATGAAAAGGGAAAATTAAATGTAAAGTTTGAATAATTAAGTAGGAATTAAGGAAGCACAAACAAAATTATTATCAGTTTCAGCAATTTTCGTACCCCCATCAATTGTAATTGTAGCATGTTCAACTTCTACAGCAGAAATTACAGGGAGAAGAGCAAGAAACAAAAGCAAGGCAGAGAGGGATGCCATAATGGGAAATCAATTATGGCAGTGCCTGAATCTATTTAGATTAACTGCAAGAAAAAGAAGCAAATTTAAATGAGATGCAGACCTTTTGGATAAGTGGTTTCCCTTCACTGAAATTGAAGAAAGAGATTAAAAATCTATGGCCCTTTTGACATAAGTGAAAGGTGAAGTATTATAATTCAAATGGTCATTTGACTCGATGGACACATGGATCTTCCAAATTATAGAGAACTAGAAAGCAATTAAATCCTTGTTGCATTGTTTAACAATACATGCAGAATCATGATATGTACGAGAAAGACCAAAAATTCAGATTCAGTAATATACCAAATTTGCACCAAGTTTACTAATCTATTAAGGGTATAAGACTTTTTTTTTTTACCTCAATAATCTTCCACATGTCATCCTTATAAATTTGAGGCATATCCCTCCAATCCTTGTAGTTAATAGGTGCAATATCTGATTTTCTTGCAATAGTACCAACGAATCGAGTCAAGGTGCAGCCTTCTTTACCAATTGGGTGGCAGTTTGCATCAAATATGATGTTGACCTTGGCACCTTTATCCAACTCCCATATGTGGGACATCAATGTTGGACCTCTTGGCTTTTTAGGTGGTGGAGATGGTGCTAATAATAAATACATTCATGAGTTATAAATTCACATAAATTCATCTTATAAATTTGAAAAACAACAATTTAAGTAAAGACTTTACCTCTAGAATTTGTTTCTTCTAGGACAGCATGTTGATGGTTTGACTCACCCACATTATTTCCAGATGGAGCAGGTTGTTGGCTTGGCTGAACCTCATTGTTTATGGATGGAGAAAAGGGTAAACCAGCTTCAGTTTGGTTGTTTGATTGGACCCTTACAATATTGAGACACTTGCGCTTTGGCATCCTGAAAGGAAAAAAAAAAAGATGATAATAATGAGAATTTATATTTTAATGTCAAAATATATACTGAAAAAGCAAGCCAAGATTATGAACTTAGAAGAATTACATAAATACATCTATAACAATCATTCAACCAAAAAAATACAATTAAAAAAGTAATAAATACTAATAAGATAAAAATATAAAAACTAGATTATTATATTTCAAATTATGGTCATACATTACACAAAATAATAACTTAAGCCTAAAATTAGAGAAACTGATAACTACACTTTGTATTACAAACTCAAATTTAATCATCAATTTCTTCATCAACATAGTTTTGAACTTCCATATCTGGTGTCACAATAATCCCCTCTTCCTCGGTATCTCTCCTAACCCAAGTGGATGCCATGTCTGTTCCACCAACTTAATCTTCTCTAATAGGTGTCACTTCTCCCAAATCAAAAGCACCTCTAACCTTCACATGCTTGACTACTTGCCAATCTTTTTCTCTTGCATCCTCAATGTAAAACACTTTACTAGCTTGAGAGGCAAATATGTAGGGGTCATCACTAGGATTACTACCAGTGTGAGATAAACGATTGAAATTCACCAACGTAAAGCCAAATTCATCTTTCTTGCATCCTCTTTGGGTGTCCGCCCAATCACACTTAAAAAGCACAACTTTATAGAAGCCAGAATAGTTCAATTTAATAATTTGCTGCAAAACACCATAGAAATTTATCTCTCCTTCCACTGGTTGATTATCCTTTCTACTAGAATAACTTCTAGTGTTTGATATAACTGCCACCCCACTGTTTTGTGTTTTCAAGTTCTTCTCATGAGTTTTGGTATGGAATCTTAATCCATTTACCAAATATCCAGAATACGTCAAAGCAACATCACTTGGTCCTTTTGAAAGCCACTTAATTTTTTTAGAAATAACATAACCTTGTTGTTCCATTCTTGTAACCTATTAACACAAATATTAATTTAACACATTAGTTTGTGAAGCCAAAAAATCATATGCCATTTAGTTTCTATCTTTTAAACTTACCCGATCACGAAACCATTCATGAAATGTCAAGGAATGACGCCTTTCTATCTCAAATTATGATAGGCGAGATGAGCGATGTTGTTTCTTTAAAAAATCCTTGTGTTGCCTAAAAATATTAAATAAGTAAGTTAGTCAGATAAAAGTGAAAAAAAGAAGAAGATGTATATATCCTACTTACTCTATGAAGGGAGTGACTTCATGAGTATTAAAAAGAAGGTTTAAGTACCATTTTGGTCCCTCAACTTTTGACTTTGGCACCAAAATTGTCCCTCACCTTTAAAAAGTACCAAAATTATCCTCAAACTTTCATTTTTGGTACCAAAATGGTCCTTCCGTCAGTTAAATGACAGGTGGCACGTTAAAATGCCAGCAAATCAATTCTTTTTTTTTCTTAATTAATGACATGAGAAAAAAACATATTTTTTTATGAGTTGGCATTTTTAATTAATTTAAAAATAATTATATCTTTTTCTTTTATCCACGTCAAAAAATAAAACATCTCTTCTTTCTCTTCCTCTTTTACTCTCTCTTCTCCCTTCGTCTTTCTCTCTCAAACCCAGATCTGGGTTTTTCTCAAACCCAAACCGAGATCTGGGTTTTTCTCAATCTGGTGAAAATTCATATATTAAAATGAAAAATATAAGTAATAAACACCATACACCATACATTTTTTTCACAAACACCACACACAAATTCATGATGAAGCAAGCTTTGCATTGGCTCGGTTTGTGCTAGACCCCTGCACGTGGCTCTGGACGCCTCAAAGTCGATACTTGTTTCTCTTGCTCTGCTCTCCTATCCTCCTCCCTTTCCTCTGCGCAACTTTTCCTCTACTCTGTGCCACAGAGTTCTGCTTCTGGGTTTGTCACGAGAGGACGAGAAGGAAAGCAGTTGCACGACAGTCAACAAATGAGGAGGAGCGGTTGAGGGGATGCGAGGAGGGGTGTGGGTGAAATAATGAAGGGGAAGAAAGTGAGGTGGGGTTGTTGCTCAAACCCAGATCTGGGTGTTTCTCAAACCCAGATCTGGGTTTCACAAATCTGGGTTTTCTCTAGTGATTTTGATCGTGGTTTTTTCTTTGTAACTTTGAAAGTTGAAACATCTCTGCGGATTTTGGGTTGTCACTATTGTTGTCTTTAATTGTTGACATTTTTCTGCGCGGCGAGAATCGTGACTATGCCGACTTCGTCTCTCGCCTGGACACCTAATCCATTACCAAGTTTGTAAATTTATTCTTCAATTTATCTCAAACACTCATTTTCTTTACGAATTTCTTAATTTATGTGATGAAACCTAGATCTGGGTTTGTTGAAGCTCCGATTTTCTTCTTGTTCAACAAGGGTTTGATTTTCTTCTGCAGTTGCAGCAATTAGGTTTAAGTTCGACAGCAAGATCTCAGCCTTTCCTGGGAGGGAAGGAAACTAAGCCATCGATCTAATTTGTATTTGGTGTTTTCGATTGACTTTTGGATCCTCTTTGTGCTGATTTGAACGAATTTTAACTGAGTTGGAGCCAATTTATTTTGATTTAATTTAAACTGCAAACCCAAATCTGGGTCTTTCTGCTACTATTGCCGTCGGCCTTCTTCTCTCAAACCCAGATTTGGATTTGAGAGAAGAAGAAGAAGGCTGACGACAGTAGTAGCAGAAGGTTTGGTTCGCTGTCATTGACGGTGACGATCATCACTTGCTTTTCGGCCATTTGAGAAAACCCAGAGCCTGGGTTTGCAGAGGTAAGAGAAAAGGAAAGGTAAAGGAGAGAGAAAATGAAAGAGGAAGAAGAAATCTAACGTGGTTGAAAAAAAAAGAATTATTATTTTTAAATTAAATGAAAATGCCAACTCATAAAAAAATGCCAACTATGTTTTTTTTTTTTTCCATGTCATTAGTTAAGAAAAAAAAAGAATTGATTTGCTG